GTCCAAATCGGTCCAGGCGTTCCAGAGATTAGCCGGAACAAACAGACAGACAGACAGACAAAAATTGTAAAAAAATATATTTTAGTATGTGTACCGTATATACATTCATATGCATGTAGTAGGAAGTAGTTATTTTAATATTACAAACAGACACTCCAATTTTATTTATTTGTATAGATTAAACGTTTAGTGTCATATAATTTTTGTTCTAACAAAGTCAGGTTTTCAGGAGTAGGGTTTTTTCTAAATCGCTTCAGCAGCAGTCGTCGTTGAGCTACTGACTTTGAAATTTCGGGGTTCCAATAATATTTAGGTTTAAATTTGGATAAAGGGTCTGTACATAGTTTAATTATCGGGATACTCCTATCGGCGGCATAATTAACTTTTTCTATAAAATAATTATATTTTAACTGTCTCTAGTGGGTTACTAAATCTGAACTAAGCATTTAATTTCCAATTGGCTAATTTATAGAGGTAATTATGCTTCCTGATACTACATCCATATCGTCGATGGTCTAATACTACTTTAATAATCAAGTGATCACTGCCTAGGTTTTCATTGGTTACAGTCCATTTAAAATTTACAGCTATGTCAGTGGATATAAATGTTACATCTGGGGATGATTCCTGCATTGTGCCATTAACAAGTTTGACTCGTGTTGAACTTCCGTCATTTAAAGGTATATAGCCATAATCAATAGCAGAGTTCATTATTTGCGCGCCTCTCGTATCATTTCTGTTTGACCAGTTTGTATGATGTGCATTAAAATCACCTGCTATTAATGATTTTTTTGAAACTAACCCAAATAGATCATCCCAGTCCTGCTGTGAAGTATGAACATTAGATGGACAATATATTGATATAATATTTTTTAAACTAGAACAATTCAATAATTTAATACATAACATTTCTAAACCTACGTTACCCACTCTGTGTGTTGATACTTGTGTTTTAAGTGACTTATGTATCACAAACGCAACTCCGCCATAAGAATCTTCTCTGTCGTTCCTATATGTATATTGTATAATATCCACTAAAGTCCATTTTTGTTTCTTCATTCAACCATGTTTCGCTTAGTATATCTAAGTGAACGTTTTCCTGCTGTAATAAACACTCTAATTCTTGTTTTTTTGGTTTGATACTTTGAGCATTCCATTGAAGTATGTTGAGCTTACCATTATAAAGAGAATTAGTCATCATTTTGACTATTGAATATTTTGTTATACCACTCTGTTTCGATAAATGTCTCTACGACGTATTTATTAACTTTATCAATTACTAGCTTCTGCCCGCGACTTCGTACGCGCAATCCCATTTTCCCCCGTTCCCGTTCGTGATTTTCGGTAAAAAGTAAAAAAAAAGTATTATATAAAAAGTATCCTATGTCCGTCTCCTGGTTCTAAGCTACATCCTCACCAATTTTCATCCAAATCGATTGAATCGTTCTTGAGTTATAAATAGTGTAACTAACACGACTTTCTTTTATATATATAGATTAGTTTCAACACAGCTAGAAATTTTCCTTCAAATGTTTTATTCGACAAAATTACTTCTCTTATTTTATTAAACATTATTTTCCAATCAAATTTACGTTTTTCCTATATTCCGTCTCCTCCTCGGTTACTATTGTTTTATCAATCTGTATTGTTTTATTGTTTTCTCGTTCATATTCCATTATATTCTCACATGTGTTCTTGTTGCTTTTTTTTGTTATATTTCTGTTTTTATTCTTACTATTACTTGAACTATACGTATTTATGATAGAACCATCCAGTTGTTTTCCTTTATTATGCAAGCAATATTAACTACTATACCTGTAGGTAACTAAATTTTGTGTATCTAATATTTGTGTATTATTGATTGTGTTATCTTTATCTTGACTTTCTTTTGTATACAGGTTTCCGTTAGTTTGATTTTATTTATGTACAAATTTTTATTTATACTTATTTACTGAATTAATACGTATACCGTCACTAAGATAGCTAATATTAAATACCAATGTGTGAGTGATGGACGAATGTTTTTATGCATATACATAATATGAAATTACTTACCATGTGAACATCACTCACACGGACAAATATGCGTGTGCATGTGTTTATAAGCGTTGCAGCGTAAAAGATAGTAGTCTTTACGGTGTCACTCTACTTTTAAAGTCTGACTGTACATAAATGTGCGATTTCCAAATAGTCGGGCTCAGAACGTGGTTAGACTTTGACAATGTACATAGCAGTGGGGTTAGGGTTGTTATGTGTCGTGCTCGCTGTGTGGTCGACGTGGTTCAGGCAGAAACCTGATGCACCTCCTATGATGCCAGGATTTCTTCCGATAATAGGACATTCACATCATCTTATCGGAGACCGTAAACGTGAGATAATATCATTTAACTTTATTTTTTCATTGAATTTACAAAAGAAAATCCTAAAGTGGGTCACTACTTGTTGAAACATCAAACGTGTGGTTTTAGATTTGTGTTGACTTGTTATACTGTAATATTACAGATCTCTGGAAGTATATACAATACTTAACCTTAACATCACTCAAGTATGGCGGAGTTGTAGAAGTATGGTTTGGCATAAAGAGACATTATGGTAAGAAAAAGCAGATATTAATGAACGGAAAAATAATTTCGGCATTCTTAATAATTTTAGAAATCTTCCTTCTTAAACAAGGTTAAAGATAACTAAGAAAGTACAGGTAGTTTCGATGGTTTGGGTATTACTGTCCAATGTATGTTTGTCGCTTTTAAATTTATACCTCGCAAATCTCCCGCTGAATATCGTGGGTATTCATAAACTGTAAAAATATTTTATTAACATTAGTAAAGACTTAAAAAACTAAGCTTTGCAAAAAATGAGAACGGACGGCCGTTAAAAAAAAACACTTATTCGTACTTTTTCTTTTGCATCGACACCGTTTTAAAACTTTATTTATTCGGTAAACCTATGACGTTATTTTTTATGACCGAGGGGAAATTTCAAAAGGCACCAGGGGAGAAAGAAAGACTAGGGAGCGTGGTCTTCTTACCTCACAAAAGCCGTTGACTTCTTTACCTAGAGCCCGCATCGGGTCCTCTAATACACATGCTCCGGAGCCCCCTATGGTGCAACTATTATTACGACACGACCTAGAACCATGCTCTATGAGGTACGTATTACACATCATTATAATACGCAATGTGCGCATTACCTATTTCAGTTCTAACCGATCCAGATGATTGCCTTAAACTGGCCAATACATGTTATAGTAAATCTTACATCTATGACTTTGCAAAGGACTTCCTAAACAATGGATTAGTAACAGCAGACGGTAAGTTTCAAAACACAAAATTTGATTGTTAATTTTTATATCGAATATGGAATGCCTCAAAGTATTTTTTTACCTGACTGAAGGAAGGGTTTTTGTCTCTTATTACTTGGTTGACAGAAAAGTAAAATAATGAAAAAGATGAAACATGTTTCTTTTTCTTTGTACAAAACCAAAAATGCACAAAGATATGAGTATATTTTAACCATTGAGCAATGACGTAAGTATACAGTATAGACTCGCTCTATAGCTAGATATAGCTAGCTATAGAGCGAGTAGATCTAGCTTTACTTGTACTGATAAAATCAAAAATATTTCTTATGGGATATTTTTCTTTATTAATAATTATAATATTTTATTTGCATAAAACATGGTGTAATTGGTTTTATAATAATTGTTATAAAGAGCTTACATGTTTTGCCAAAATTATGCTTAACATGCAAATATTTCACTTATAATGTAGGTAGTATTAAATTATTTTTCCATAAATTCTTTAGGACAATAGAAGTTATTCGTATACAACCAAGCAAGCAATTTGTTCTTAAATAATCTAGAATTATTTCTTTTAGATCAGTTGGAATCTTAATATATGTAGGAACACAGTTATATAAGCAGCTTTTGCTATATTTAATAAACCTGACAGTATCATCTAGAACCGTAAAGTAGTTTTTTAAATCCTCTACAAATAAAAGAAGTTTTTAAAGACATCAAGATCAAATCAACTGAAGATTTATGGGGACTATCGGTAAAAGTTTGCAAATCACTTATTCAAACTATAGCGCCATACTTGGCTGTGATTTTCAATAAAAGTATAGATGACGGTGTTTTCCCTGACCTAATGAAATATAGTAAAGTTATACCACTATTTAAAAGTGGTGACACTAAAGAACCAAACAATTATAGGCCAGTTTTCCGGTTCTCAGCAAAGTATTTGAAAAGTTAATGCTGTCTCGGATGCTTCATCATTTTAATAAACATTTTATCTTTCACCAACAACAATACGGTTTTACTAAAGGTCGTTGTACAACTGACACCGGTGTCAGTTTAATGAAAGAAATATTTGGTGCTTGGGAGGAAGCACAAGATGCTATTGGTGTCTTTTGTGACCTCTCAAAAGCGTTCGATTACGTTGACTACGAGACACTTTTTCTGAAATTAGATCGCTACGGGATCAGAAACACCGCACTCTGTCTAATAACACAAGATAAAGTCTTATTTAGAAGATAGGTAATTAAAAGTTCATGTTAATCGTATTAACTCGCAGGGCTCTACGATGAATATGGGCGTTCCACAGGGTTCAATATTGGGTCCCTTTCTCTTTTTAGTCTATATAAATGATTTGCCATTTATATTCAAGAATGAACCAAGAATGGTGCTTTTTGCAGATGGTACTTCATTAATTTTTAAAATAAATCGACGTGCTAATAATCTTGACGACGTAAACAGCTCCATTCTTTGAGTGCAAAACTGGTTTACCATTAATAATCTAGCGCTTAATGAGAAAAAAACAAAATGTATTAAATTTAGTTTACCAATCGTCCGAAGTAATGATTGTGATTTTGTTTTAAACGGCCAAAAGTTAGAATTTGTCGACGAGACGGTATTTTTAGGCATTACATTAGACAATAGACTACAGTGGGGCCCGCATATAAAGGCGCTTTCGGGGAGATTAAGCTCAGCTGCTTTTGCAGTTAGACAGATTAGACAGCTCACGGACGTAGATACGGCAAGGCTTGTCTATTTTAGTTACTTTCACAGCATTATGTCGTATGTCATTTTGTTGTGTGGTCTAGCTGCAGAAATAGAATCAATTTTTATTCTTCAAAAGCGGGCTATTCGAGCAATATATAACTTACGCCGTTGCGAATCGCTAAGAGAATTGTTTAAAACGATAAATATCTTAACGGTGCCCTGTCAATACATATATGAAAATATAATGTATGTAAGAAAAAATAGGCAATTGTTCGAAAAAAGAAGCGATAGACACAATCTTAATACTAGAGACAAGAATAAGTTAGCTGTACTGCAATTCAGACTGTCCAAGGTACAGAAATCCTTTATGGGGTTAGGTATTAAATGCTATAATAAATACCAAATAGCATACTAGATTTCAATGAAAGTAAATTTAAAACATATATTAAGCGCGAATTATGTAAACAAGCTTACTACAGGGTGATTGATTATCTTGAGGATAGCAATACTTGACAGCGTGTTGGTTCGGCTCCACTGAACAATACTCAAATGTAGTCCGTACCTAGTTCAGATTATGATAATAGGTAATTTAATACTTTGATTCCGATGAAGGCAATCTATTTTTCTTGTGGCATCGAGCGTTTCTTTCTTTATTTAAACAAGAGTTTATTTTTTATTTTTTTCTTGTATAGAAGCACTATTTTATATGGATTGTCAGTATGCATATTATGTGAGGACCATGTCAGACTTAAGATATTTTTTTTCTCTTGGTTTTGTTTTATTTTTTCTATTTTAGTATGTTCTGTTATTTGTATGTTGCGTCAGGTATGTCTTTACATTATTGTCACATGTGTGTACAATATTGGAATATATATCAATATATTCCTATATTCCACATGTGCTTTTTTTTCATGACTTTTTTTTAAAATAGTAACGAATGGAGTTTCTTTCTCGTTCTTCTCCACTCGAATCGACATTTTGGAACGAACGCCTAGCTTCACTGACGGACAGACGGACAGACTATTATATATTTCATATTTGTTGACGTTTCAAAAGTACCAAATTATGGTTTAATTGAAATAAATGCTTTTGAGTTTGAGTTTGGGATACCTTTATATATACGTACATTTATCACCCTACTTTTTCATTTATTTTTTTTCAATAGATGCAAACTTCGTTTAAAATCTACTGTAACACTTGTCTGCATCACCCTATGGTTGGCTGGTAGAGAATGCCATTCGGCATTAAGTCCGCCATTGTATAAATTTGTACAAAAAGTGTTAAATAAATAAAAATAAAATAATAACTTTGGTATTGATGTCATCATATCCCACACAATTAGAATTGGCTAATGACATTATCAGTTGTTTAACCTCACTTTAGATTTTAGAAACACCGAGTTGCCGGTTGTTAATGTGAGATAATGGTTTCATGCTATTCTGGGTACTCATATGCGTTAAATTAAAATAATTATCATTGAAAGCAGTGGCCATTTTAATAGGATCTGTAAATGTTGTGTTGTCAATTATAATGTTCCTCTATATTGTCTATACAATTTGTATCTGTTATTTCATTTTTGATTAGTGCCCATGTGGCCTTACATTTATTTCCGTTTTAGTAAATATATTTTATTTTTTTTTAATTCACTCCGCATTTTTTGAATATTAGTTTATGTATTCATTGTTATTAAACATATATTTAATGTTATTATTTGGATCTTCATTTTTACAATACTTATATCGCAGCCTACGGTTTTTTCGGCAACTTATTTTAAACCTCTGCTGATACAATTTTAAGTACTATTACCTTTTTTATTTATTTTTCTTTTTATTTTTGGAATGGATTGTAATATTGTAAAATAAGCGAAAAATTCACTAAATACATTATTTATTATTTAGTCAGTATTACTAAATTATTTAAAAATAATTTAATAAAATCAAATTATTTGGGTAAGTATCGAATTAAATGAATGTTCTGGAAAAAATAAACTTTGTTGTTTGCAGCGGCCACATGGAAAGTGCATCGCAAATTATTAAATCCTGCTTTTAACCAACAAGTTTTGGATACATTCATTAACGAAATGAATATTCAAGCACGAAATGTTGTCTCAAATTTGAAAAATGAATTAGAAAATGAGTCTTTTGATGTTCTGCGCCACATAGTCAGCTTCACGCTATCAACTGTTAGCCGTAAGAATTTATATACCTAATTTTTCCTGTGTCTCATGCCAACCCATGATCTTACTTTAACTTTTACAAATAAGCTATAGATTAAAAAGTCTAGCATGTCATCGAATTTTGCTTACCACTGAAATAATATTTTGTGTTAAATGAAAATTTTCTAAAAATTATGTGTTTACATTTCAGGAACATCTCTTGGGTTAACAGATGAAGACCAAAAGATAATAGACACGGATTATGCTGCAGCTATCGACTCCATATTTGCTCTATACTGCGACAGATTCCAAAAAGTTTGGTTGCATCTCAATTTTATTTTTAAGTGGAGCGAAATAAAACGCAAACAAGATAGACTATTGAAAATTTTGCATGATATTATGATTCCGGTAAGATATTTTTATACGCTATTAGTGTTTGAATTAATAATATTCCATTTGAAGAATATTGCGTAATTCTATCATTTGCAAAAAAAAGAGAGATAAAGAGACTAGTTTTTGTCTGCTTCCTCGAAGATATAATTAATTTCTTGTTTCATTTTGAGATTCTAGACAGTCTATTCTGGGACGCCCAATATTTGTTTAGGTTTTATTATTTATGGTTATAAATATACACTAAAAAAATATAAACCAACCGGTTTCCACCGTAGATCTTAGCTTACGCTTGGCTTGGTAGAGGTACGAGTTGTATTCCTTGGACAAAAGTAGCCTTAAAAACACATAAAGTATTAACCTGAACTTTCAATAATTTGTGTTAGAATAAAAACAAATTATCAATATGAATTCAGTGCTTAAAAATTGTTTTTTAAATATCGGGGCTTGTGTAACAAAAACTTATAACAACTTTTTCAGCTGATATTGAAAAGAAAATCGGAGCTGTCGACTAAAAGAGAACCTACGTATTATGAAGATAGGCCCGGTAATATAACATTATGATTTTTCATTTATATTTATTTCATATAATCCTTGATCAATACTATGTATATTTATATGTACTTTCAAATAGATGATTATAAAATCCAATTATAAAAGCAATGACTGTTAATGAAGCGAAAGAGTTATGTAAGATTCGTGGCAATTGGCATTCAATAGTCTTTGCCTCCCTTTGGCGATAGGCTTGAGGTTATGTGTGTATGTTTGATTATAAAAAAAAACAAATTAAAAAATATAAAATGCAGTTGCCCACCAATAACGGGAGAAATTCTAACTACCGATAGTCCATTCAGGGTTCCATAAAGAGGAATTTCCGAACGCGCCGTGTCCAGAAGTACTCCTTTCTGCATCAGGACCTATACCCTTTCCCCAATCATCTAACGCTATCCTACTCAAGTGTTGGTCGAGCTTTTAGAAATGTGGTAATTGGTGAATACAACTATGGGCCCAATAATTACTGAATCCACATCCCACAAGTCGACAATCTCATGAGCTGAATATATTTACTTGCTTTATCTTTTTCTGCTTTTACGAGATTTTCGTCATGTGGGATTGTTATATCAATTATCGTTAAGCGACGGCTTGATCGATCTATTACCACAACGTCAGGTTTGTTAGGAACAATTGTCCTGTTTGTGATGATAGTTCAATCTCAATACAGTGTGATATCTCCATTTTTAGCTTTAGCTAAATGCTGTCTCTGTAGGATCCTGCGATGGGGCGAACAAAATCGCTTGTATTTTGCACCTTATGAGACTTACCAGCAATTGTTTAAAATTAACAACGTTTTTGAAAATCGAAAGGAGTCTGTTTGCTAAATTCGTTTAGTTTTGAAAAAAAACTTTTGTTTCATTGAGCATATTAAGGCTATTAGTGAGAAAGCCAATAATAACTTTGACGCCAATTTTGAAATCCAAAGTCTCTTTTTTCTTACGCTCAGAACCATAATATACGTCGTACGCTTGGGTCTGGTACTGGTCGGCCGGCGAGTTACACGTGCTCACTATCCGCAGGCCCGTACTTACGACGGCTAGGGCGTGAAAAGATTTGGCATCCCAGTCCCCCTCGGTGGGTGTATCATGGTCTGAACCAGAGCCAAACGCGAGAGGTCGCCGTCGCCGATCACATTCCTGAGGACACGGCGGTGCTCAGCCCACGCAGAGCACATCACCATCGTACGTTCTACCGTGTCCGAATCTGAAAGAAGAATCTACCAAAACTTCCGTGTTCAATAAGCACCTGCGTTAGGCGGTAGTTGAGGACGCCGTAACGTCTCTCAAGCCACTCCTCAAAGAGGGGTTTAGCGCTGCAATGACAGCGAGCCCAAACCTCGGTTGTGATAGTCGTTGCTGCCATTTCACAATCAGATTGTACCAAATATACAATAAAATTGAAAAAATAAAATAAAAAAACACATAACACAACATCACGCCTTTTATCCCCGAAGGGTAGGCAGAGGTGCACATTATGCCACTGTACAATGTAACACCCACAAATAACATTGAAAAAATAGGGGGTGAGCCTATTGCCATATACTGAGCACAATTCCAGACTCCGTGCTACTACTGAGAATTTTTAAAACACCCAGTTATACTTTGCCCGACCCGTGAATCGAACCCTAACCCCTTGCCCGGCAGTTGCACTTGCGACCGCTCCGCCACCGAGGCAGTCAACCAAGTGAGTTTGTTATGTAATATATCTTTTTTCAGGTAAATTTAAACCAATTCTTGATCAGATGCTTCAAATGGCAAGTGATCATGGAGTATTCTCCGATGAAAACATCAGAGAACACTTAGATACTCTCGTAGCAGCATCATATGATACAACTTCTTCAGCGATGACCCACATGTTGCTGGCGATTGCAACTTACCCAGAAATACAGAACAGAATATATAATGAGTAAGTTTTTATATAGTTTCTATCAATTGTTATATTTTTTGCCTTATTCACGTAATTATTTGATGAAGAACTCGTCTAGACTAGTTTCAAGCTACTCAGTAGCAGTGCGAAGGTCGCTTCGTCACGGGTCGCGGAATGTTGGTCATGATTGTGGGCCACTAGCATGGCTTAAAACTCGTCGATCCTCTTTCTGGGAAATCGGTTGGTGCGGTGGTTGGGGAACTGGCTCCCGTACAACCGATAGTGGGTTCGATTCCCGCACGGACCAACTCTTTATATGATCCATAAATTGTTGTTCTGGGTCTGGGTGTTACTTGAATGTGAAATAGTTTGTTTGTGTTAACAATGGTGGTGGGTGTGTTTGCGACAAAGGAAAAAATTCAAGTGGGGAGCAATGCTTACTAAAAAAAAAGAATGCACCTCTTTACACAGAATATTGACTTAGTTCGATCGAATTTAGTGCTAAACTTGACAAAAACAGGAGGCGAAAATCCACACAGAACTCCTTCGCCTGGCGATACAATTAAATATTTATTTAATTATTCATTTCTCAATACAAATCCTAGATTTCTAGACGCCTTCTTTTAAATTTTCATTTTGTGCTCACGGAACAACAAGTCGGGGGTCATGTAAACTCCCAAATCACGCACCTGTGTGATTCGTTGCAGTGGTATATTTTCAAGCCTGTATTCATGTCACACAGATGAACGTGAACGTGCGCGAGTAAAACTTATCGTTGAACATTTTAACTCGTTAAAATACAGCTTGTTTTTATGAATCCATTGAACTTAGGATAGTTCAGTCAATGTCATCCTGTAAACACTTGCAGTCTGTTTCCTTCCTAATTTCTAGCAGTAACTTTAAGTCATCTGCAATTAACAAGAGCCATGTTTGACGCCTTGTGGTAAATCATTTATCATATTTAAAAATTCAAGAGGCCCCAAATTACTGCCATGGTTTACTCCCGATCTAGTGTAATATGGATCCAAATAATAATAGTATATCTAAACTTATGTTCCGTAAGTAGCATACTAATAAAAACGGAATCTTTTTCAGAATACAAGAAGTTCTGCAGAACAAAGATGATGATTTTACTAAACATGATCTACAGAAGCTGGTCTACTTAGAGGCAGTAATGAAAGAGTCGTTGAGATTGTACAGCGCTACTCCACTTATAAGTAGAAAAATTGATGTAGATATAAAACTAAGTGAGTAACTTTTATTTATAACTATCTGTTACCCGCGACTTCGTCCGTGAAGAATAATGACTTCTGACAGAATTCATCAGAATCAAATCAGTGCCTGTGAAATGATTTATCGTGGTTTCAAAATATAAATAATACCGCAGGGATCTTATCAGTACATTGCCTGTTTCCATAAGGTTTTAGTGATAAAATCTATTCTATTGACTATTGTGATACGGAATCTTTCTAAAATGAGTTCAGTGCTTAAGAGATAGAGACTCCCGGGGCTATAACGCATAGGTCCCGTTCTCGTGGGACTTCTGTGATAAAAACTATCATACATCGTTTCCCAGTCTCAAATTATAGTTTTACCGAATGTAACTCAAAAAGTTTCAATGATTCTAGATTCAATAGCTAAGACGATTTATACAAACTCTCATTTCCTATTTTATCCCCTAAGGGGTGGAATTTATCAAAATCCTTTCTTAGGAAATACCTATGTCATAGTAACTTTATGCATGCAAAGTCTCATCCCGATCGGTTTAAAACAGACAAAGTTTCATATAAACTTTCATCCCCTATTTTACCCTATTGGAGGTGTAAATTATCAAAATCTTTTCTTAAGGGACATTTACGTCATAACATCTACCTGCATGCCAAATTTAAACCCGATCGGTTTAGAACTAACAAAGTTCCATACAAACTTTCGTACCATATTTTACCCTATTGTGGGTTAAAATATTCAAAATTCTTTCTTAGGGTTTGCTTAAGTCATAATATATACCTGCACGCCGAATTTCAACCCAATCTGTGTAAAATTGACAAAGTTCCGTACAAACTTTCATCCTTTATTTTACCCCATTGGGGTAGAAATTATCAAAATTCTTAGCGGATGCCTACGTCATAATATTTACCTCATGCCAAATTTCAGCCCAATCCATCCAGTGGTTTGGGCTGAGTGTTGATAGATCACTATGTCAGTCAGTCAGTCACCTTTGAATCCATACTATCCATACTAATAACAGTACCACTATCCTCCCATGATATTTGTATTATTCTTGATGTCTTTTAAGTCCGATCTAGAACTTCAATTGCTCTTTTTTGGGACATGGTACACTCATCCCAAACTAATAATTTACATTGCAGCACCATAAAAAGTAGCCTGTGTTCGTGCCTAGGATCTTTAAATATAAATTTCTTAAATATCAATCTTGAAATTAACCACGTTTTATTAAAATCCGTCCAGACGTAAAGGCGTGAATAAGGTAAAATTTTAAAACAAACGATTAAAAATCACTAACTAAATTGGTTTTCTGCCTACTGCCTACGCCTTAAGTATGATAGCTTAAATATTAATAGCCTATATCCTTTTCTAGATTACTATCTATCAAACCTATCAAAATTTCATCAAAATCCGTTCAGCCACAAACACAATTCAGGTTTCTGCCTACTTCCTACCCCCTAAGTACGATGACGTGATTATTTATACCATGCCTTTGACCATTTCTAGGTTATCATCTATCACCATACCAGATTTCATCAAAAACCGTTCAGCCGTTTAGGCGTAAAAGAGCAAAAGTTCCAACAAAAACGACTAACATCACTTACTCAATTTAGTTATCTGCCTACCTCCTAAGAACGGTGGCGTGATTATTTATAGCCTATGACCATTTCTAGGTTATCATCTATCACCATTTCAAATGTCATCAAAATCCGCTCAGCCGTTTAGGCATGAAAGAGTAACAGACAGACAGACCGACAGACAGAATTATTTTCGCATTTATAATATTAGTATGGATTAGTATGGATATGGATATGGACTGGTTGTGAAACAAATATTAAAGAATGAGCACGAAATGAGAATAAGATCCAGAAATGAACCATAAAACGACGATGCTCTCGAATGTCTTCTAACAATTGATACCACACGAAATTATAACTTCTTTGCTTATTATTACGATTGACTTTAAGTTGCAATTAATATGTGACCCTTCAATTGACTATATTACGTTTGGTTTATTTTATTTCACAATATTGTGTTTCTTTTTTTTATATAGATGTTTTCTATTATATTCCAGAAAACTGTACAATACGTGCCAACAGCGCTTCTATCATTGGTGTGTATGCTCTCCACCGTCATCCTCTCTGGGGTCCCGATGCAAATGAATTCAAACCAGAGCGCTGGTTGGATCCCAGCATTTCTTCATTACTTGAGAAGCCTGCCCTCTTTGCTGCCTTTGGTATTGGCAAACGAAACTGCATCGGTAATCATGTTTTATATATTCTGCTCTTTGTTTCTATTTAACTTAATACTTTATTGTTCAGCTATTCTAAGAATTTTCGTATAACTAGTATTAAATTGTAATAAATGGATGAGTTTATTCTTTGTAATGATCATACTACAGCCCACAGGGCATTTCTAAAGAAGACAGTAATCGATGTATAATGAATCACCAGCCTGTTGGTAAGCAGTCGCCGCTACCTACGGCGACCCGTAACACTAGCTGCGTTTTAAATCCCGAGTGTACGGCGCGTCGTGTTCCGCGCGCACCTCAAAGAGCCTTCAGAACACTATAAATGGGGCCCAATAGGGTTGATGCCCGAATCAAAGTTGCGGACAACTTAACCGATTAACGAAACTCCGGTTTAAAGCAGTAGTAGGATCGGGGGTAATTTTTAGTAAAAAAATAAATAAACTAAACTTATTTTTCAGGAAAATCGTACAGCATGCTGATGATGAAGATAGTACTAGCACACATTGTTCGACAATATCATATTTCTGGCGACATTCACAAAGTAGTATGTGAATTTGACATAGTTTTGAAACCGGTATCAGGACACCATATTGGTTTGAAATTAAGGTCTTAAGATTGTAAAAATAATTGCTCTGTAATGCCTAATGATGGAGACACAGAAAAGTAGAAAATAATTGTTTATTTTGTAAGTTGTTGAAATATATTCTTAAGTCAAGTTCGAGTTCTTTATTGTAATCTATATAGATAGAAGAAATATAATAAAAGAGACATACATATAGATAATAAAATTGTAGAAAATACAAAACTGTATATTAAATATTTTTGTTAAATTAAAGGCGTGTTGACTGGTTTAATTATAATAAATTTCCAGTATGTGAGCGCTAACCACAGCAAATACCTCCGTTCTTCTAATAATCTTCTGTTGGAATGTCCCACACATCGAAATGACTTCCTTCACTGTTATTTTTCGTCCAATGCATCTTGCTGTGGAATGTCCTTCAAATTTAGGGTTCGTGAGCATCTACAGAAGAGGCTAGCACACACACTTAGGTATTGTACGTATTTATATATTTATATGTATATATATAAGTTTGTATATATATATATATGTCCCATACTTATTTGTCTACTGTTCATTCTGCAATACGTAGGTATATATTTTAATACTTCTTCATTATATTTAATTATTATATATTGTGTGATATGTATAATTATATAATATCTAGATGTCAATTTATGTTCAAAACTCACAGCAGTGTAAAACTTTTACACTTACTATTGTGTCTCTCTGCATCACCCTAAGGTTGACTGCCACTAGGCATTAGGTCCGCCATTGTATACAATTGCAAGAAGTGTAAATAAATAAATAAATAAATAAATAAGTGTAACGCGGCAATTCGATTTTGGTTTGTGTCGGACGCACGCGCGCTACTCTAGTCTCTACCTCTCTATTCCTCTTCCCCCGCTTCCCCGCCACTGACTGCTCGACGCTTGCGACTTGCGAGGCGAGAACAACGAGTCCCGCGCCGGAGCCGTGACGCACGCGCTCCGTACTTGTGCCGCGAAATATTTGAGTTTTACCTATATTGTATTATTGTGCAACTTTGTTTATATTTAGTTTATTCCAATATACAATTTACAGTCATTCGTGTGTCGAACTTTATTTCACGCCCTGAGAACCCGCCACCAGAAAAATCATCTTCAACTATATTACATAAGTAAATAAATAAATAATTAAATAAATCCTACTATAATATTATAAATGCGAAAGTTTGTGAGGATATATGTGTGTGTGTGGATGTGTTTGTTACTGGTTCACGCAAAAACTACTGATTGGATTTATATGAAACTTCACAGTAATGTAGGTCATACATCAGAATAACATACAGGCTACAATTTGTAAAGACTTTATGTTATTTTGAGCGTAATATAACACAAAATGTTAGACAAATCGGGTCTCTGAGACCTATATCGGCGTACGCTGCCTAAACCATTGGAGTTACACTAAGATAATGTACTGTAAGATTGTTTGTATTAATTAGGTCTAAATAAAAGTCTCCGATGGCATATTTCTATCTTTTACATGGAAGTCACTTTGCCGATTATTAAGAATATTAATTACGATTTATCTGAAAACGGATAACTGATAGGTAACATTACTATGGTAACCAACCTGATGATTTGTAATAGTTATGGCCTCCTACTTCCATAGTAAATTTTGAAATCAACAGACAAAAATGAAGTTCTGTGGGTTTTCAAGGACTAATATTAGTATTCTGCTGCATCAGGGATAAGGGATAAGAAAAAATACGAATTGAATTAACCGAATACTATTTATTCGTAGATAGGATGTAATATGTTTTTACGTAATTAATAACTGCATAACAGGATCGCAGAAGTCATAAAGAGCTTTCTACAGTACATCTGCATGATATACCAGGGTCCAAAAGTTATAAAGAAGTATCTTCAGTACAACTGCATAATATTATATACCAGGATCGCAGAAGTCATAAAGAGCTTTCTACAGTACATCTGCATAATATACCCAGGATCGCAGAAGTCATAAAGAGCTTTCTACAGTACATCTGCATAATATACCCAGGATCGCAGAAGTCATAAAGAGCTTTCTGCAGTACATCTGCATAATATACCAGGATCGCAGAAGTTATAAAGAACTATCTTTAGTACAACTGCGGATACCAGGGTCGCAGAAGTTATAAAGAACACTATCTACAGTACAACTGCATAATAATAATAATAACTAGCTGACTCGGCGAACTTTGTTCCTTGATGGATCCCGATGATCCCAACCGATATGCCGTTTGAATTTCAAAGACTTCAATTTCCGATACGTCTTGCATTTGCCATGACCATCAACAAATCACAAGGCCTATCCCTAAAAGTTTGTGGTTTAAATCTAGAACATTCATGTTTTTCCCATGGTCAATTATACGTGGCATGTTCACGGGTCGGAAGACCATCTGCGTTGTTTGTTTTTGGCCCTGATAATAATTAAAAAAAATTCGTATATCACAAGGTACTTCAAGCTAGAGATTAATGTAGGTATTTAATTTCTTTTGTATTTTTTCCAATAAAAAAGGCGGCGTATTTATTGCCATTAAGGCGGAACATAGTTCGCCGGGTCAGCTAGTAAATAAATAAATAAATAAATAAAAACGCGGGTTACTCACGTGAATATACTGAGAAAAGCTCTACTAGTTTCGAACCACAGAGGGGTTCCCGCGTTTTTACTTAATTTAGTATGTCTCAGGATAGTTATTATAAAAACAAATAAATAAATAAATCTTAATTATACCGGTACTCGTTATGATGTTTTACAGACATTAGAGGCGGGAGACAGAAAAAAAGTTACAAGCAGCCAAGCGTGAGTTGCCACCATAAGGCGCAATATTCAAATTACATTTTGTTTTTTAATTTTAACAATTTTTAAAACGAAGCGTGGGGCGTGATTTCATTATGTTTGTCTGTTTGTCTGTATGTATGGCCGGGGTGATCTCAAAAAGCACTACATGGAATTACTTCCTATTTTGCGTGAATATTACCCGTTTACATGAACTAGATATAATTTCATTTTATCATTGAGGTTGGAACTATTTCGTAAAAACTTCCAATAAAAACAAAATAATAACTATCGTGGGACATACTAAATTAACTTAAAATCGCGAGTTACTCACGTGAATATACAGAGAAAAGCTCTACTAGTTTCGAACCACAGAAGGGTTCTTCCTCATGAGCAGCGTACGCGGTCGCGGCCATGTTGCGCAGCCTGCTCAGCAACCCGCGATTTGTAGTTAATTTAGTATGTCTCACGATAGTTATCATAAAAATGTTTCTTAATGTTAATCTATTGGGTATTTTTTATTATAATTCATACAACTGATGTCGCGCAGCCTACTGGCCAGCGTTGACGCTCGCCTCTGTAACAACACCGAGGCGACCTCGAAACTAGTAGAGCTTTTCTCAGTATTTTCACGTGAGTAACCCGCGAGTTTTAGTTACACTAAACAAAATATGTACTCAAATTACACAATTATTGTAAAGTTAAACGGTTTTTTGTACTGTTTACGATAAGAATTAATATTTAATCTTTTCAAATTTTGATTCCTTGTAGATAATATCAGCTTTATAGTGATATTTTTTAATCTGTTGTAGATTCGTAGCAAATAGGCTTTAAGTCGGTGACGTCCACGGCGCGTAAGCGCGCCTTCCGCGCGGGCGTTCAAGACGTAGGGCCGATGCCGATTCGGAGTAGCGGAGAACCTAACGGTTAACCGGGGCTCCGGCTCGACGTGCAGGAGAAGGAACGGGGTGGTTTTTAGTCAGTAAGAGTCAGACACTCCCAGTGTGTCGCTTCACCAGGTGTCCCCACCTTCACCCAGGCGGGAGAAGTCATTCGATGATTTTCCCCCATTAAAAAAAAGACGTGTGTGCTGACGCGACACGGGCGTTTGAGTAGATAATTGAAAAGGCTCCCAACAGCACTTGTTGCTCGAAACAGACGATCATAAAAAGGAACGGTAAATATGTACCTATCCCACCATTATTCTTGAATTAACAAAAATCTAAATGCAAGAAAATAAAATATGCAACGAACGACATTGTTACGGGTAGCCAAAAACATAGTTCATATATAGAATAATTACACTCAACAGGTAAATATAATGTCTTCGTTCAGTTTAATTTAATTTTATTTAATTCACAAGAAGACAAAGGAAACGTCATTGTAGGTTTATGTTCAGCACTGGATATCATTTCATTGACAATGCCTAAGCCTTGTAAAATTGTAAAAATTATAATGTACTTGCTACTTCTGCGCGATTTAAAACATTAATAAGGTATCCTTGTACAGTCAAAGGTCAAAAGTCCACTGCCATCGTGAGTGATGTTCACACGGCAATGCGTAAGTAATTTCATATTAATGTGCATAAAAACGCGTGCGTATGTATAAACACACGAACGCGTACGCACACGGATAAAAATATGCGTGTGCATATGTGTATAAGTGCTGCAGCGCAACCGATAGTAGTCTTTTGACCTTTGACCGTACATTTTACCATTTTGGCATGCAACCATTGATGCAGGTTCATCATCAGACATATTCAGACACAGTTACAATTTATTAGCTAAATTATCAGACACAGAGTAATAACATATTTTTAACAAGACTAAAGAAGAAGGATATCTTCTGAAAAGGCTGATGAGGCGATGGCCTCGTCTTCGTCCAATCAAGATACATACATGGTCTTGTGACTGATTACTGATATTACCAAAAAACAAAGAGTGACGTAAGTTTAATTTTAAAAATTGTCATTGCTTTTTTATTGAATTCGGTACACATTCGGTAGGAATGTGATTAAATATAGTTTTGTAGCCTTAAACAATAAATGTACTATCATATTCAAAAATATTTTGCGGTGCAGTAGTTCCCGAGATTAGCGATGCTGTTCTTCGAGCCAGAACCTCTTTTTATAAAATCACGTCATTTGGTTACTCCGTTTTAGTTACACATTATATCACGGACTTTTACGTTGATATCAATGTACTTTATTAGAGTTTAGTACACCGCTTGCCTCCATTGCCAATAATTTTACAGTGTAAGCAATATTGGGATTTTTTTGGTAGGTTTTCACACATCGGGATAATATTACCTACCTAAAGGAAACTGGCAAACTTTTATAGTGTTTTTGGCTAAAACGGACTAAATTGAAATACTATAGGTTTTCAAGGGCCAATATTAGTATCTAGCTGGATACTAATTACACATAGCTATGTGTAATTAGTTTTTGATATAACTTATGATAATTATGAAAAAATACAAATTGAAGATAATTGAAAATATTTGAATTATGCATTTTTCTTCCTAGACAGCTGGCAACCTCTTTGCATAACTTTGTTAATTTGATAACAAATAAAATTGTCAATTATTTATTGACATATAAAGTCACTTGTCAAGAAAATGTCAGATGACGTGACAGAAATCTTGTTTGTCTGTTGGTTTTTCCGTCTTTCACGGCAAAACAGAGCTAGAAATTAACTTTTTTTTCTGAGTGGATATACCTGAAACGATTATGAGCAGGATGGGTTACTTTTTGTCTATCTTATTTTTTCTATAAAACGTTGCCCCACATTAGGATTTTCTCCTGTGTCGTGGGTGCGTTTACAAACATACAAGTTCACATACACAATGACACCCAGACCAGAAACAACAATTTGTGGATTACACAAAGTGTTGATACGTGCAGGAATCGAACCCGCGACACGTTGCACGGCAGCCGGTTGCCCAGCCACCGCACCAACCTTGCAGTCAGTCTTTCTAAACCTTACTTGCACAGTTTTTTTTAAAGATAGAAAGCCAATATTTGTTATATGGTTTATTAATTGTGACTAGTAAAAAGATCGTGTACCATTTTTCTTCATTTATGTATTAACCTGGCCCAACTTGAATTCGTATCTTTTCTTTGTATTTTTTTTCCAGTCGTAGTTTTTTAGAGTAAAGCTAGATAATAGCTTGGCTTATTCAAAAACAACATTTAAATATGCGTCATTAGCAGAGATTTGAACTTACCTAGGTTCATAGAGAATGTTACGCAAACATAAGGTCGGAAACTTTTAATTTCCGAGAATATTTTTTTTTAATTTGTCGTAGACCCTATACGCGATGACCGTAGTGTGCAACGTTGTCGTTCTACTATTTTGCGCACGAGAAGAAATATTTGCACAATTAAAATAAAAGCGCACTTATAAAAAAAAATACGTATTTATTTACTCATTCCTTTTATTACTATTTTTTTTCAGATACAAAACAATTGACTTGTATTTAATTTTATTGTGATTTATTCGGCTACTATTAATATTAAATTAATAAAAAAAATTACGATACATGGTGTTTACCTACATTTTTACCTTTCGACAACTTCTGACATCTATGGACAAATATAAAAATAATGTTACTGAATGAATGGTGTTTTATTTATATTTTTAAGAATGTATCTAATTTATATAACAAATAAAAGTGTATATTCATACCAATACACCAATACACCAATAAGAGTCAACGACATAAATTATTTATTTTATTTATTTATTTATTTGTTCATGTACACAACACAGACAATACACAGAAAAAAATATATATAATAACAAAACAGAGGTACATAGGTACTGCATATCCCTTATGGGATTTCTTCCTGCAGCCCTGCGAAAGAAGAAATAAATACGACATATGACACAGTGTGTAACAACAAGAAAAAACAAACAAGAAGAAGACAATGAAAACTTAAACTGATAATTAAAATTAGACTAACCAAAATAATACAATAAATTAGTTACTATAACCAAATAAAACTTTTCTTAAATTCCGGGTTATTTCAAATGTTTTGTTAAAAAGGACTGCCTCGTTGGCCGAGTGGTCGTGAGTGTGACTACCAGGCAAGGGGTCTTGGGTTCGATTCCCGGGTCAGGCAAAGTATTATTGGGTTTATTTTATAAAAATCATAATAGTAGTACGGAGTCTGGAAATGTGCCCGGTATATGGCAACAGGCTCTACTCCTATTACATGGGACTCATAACGACGCTCCCAACCAAGAACTCGGTAATGTGCTATTATCGGGTTTATGCTGTTATGTCAATTTCGGCGCGTATGGACTTGAATACACCTTGACAATTTTTCTCAGATTTTTCCTAATAATAGTTACAAAGATATCATGACGCACATGTTTATTGTTGGGAATTAATACACAATAATATCTCGGCAAAAAACATGTTATACATCTGTACGAAAAAACAATTTATATTTTATTTTGGTAAGTTGCGATTACCGGGTTATTGCCGTAAATAATTTTCATGAAGATTTAGGTAAACGTGTGTACGGGGTTTTTGTTGAATTCATTGTAAAATACGTATTCCGTAATACACACTAACAATGTTATTGAAGATTGGTATTGGCTCATTAATGTACGTAATATTTTATATTACGTACATTAATGAGCCAAAGTTATTGTGGTAATTTAAATAATATTTTAAATTACCACAATAACTCCGTAACAAAAAAAACCCCGTAGAAGTCCATAATATAATGTTATGAAATATTTCATTTGATAAATTTACTGCAATAATCCCGTAAGTACTATTACCATAATATTTTATGTATAAAATTTTAGGTATTATTTATTTTCCTAAATTACTAGGTATTTAATAAAAGGAATGTAATTTTAATGGCACAGGTATATTCCGCAAAAAAATAGCTTTCATTTAACACATCAATGACTTCAATAGTCCCACTCGTTGAAAAGGTATTTGATAAAATCAGTAAATCTTTTCTCCTGTAAAATTTTGATTTATCGATTACTGGGTTATTGTTTGGAAGCGTCTCCATATTATGACTGCAAGTCACAGGTACCAAAAACAGCTCTACGTACCTATCTCTGGTCATTAGACTACACGCTGTCACAGAATGCGTAAAATAAATAAAGATACACGGCTTCTCCTCCTAGATGATAGCATGATAATATGTAGCCTATATGTAAACTCTACCTGTTAATAATATTCATGCAAAATTTGAAGTAAATCCATGAAGTGTTTTTTGAGATTACTCCGGCCAGACATACAGACAAATAGACAAAAATCGACTATTAGGAGCTGGGCAGAGCGTGTGAAACCGCGCGGAAGTAGATAGTCTATCTATATAGATTACAGTAAAGAACTCGAACATGACTTAAGAATATATTTCAACAACTTACAAAATAAACAATTTTTTTCTACTTTTCTGTGTCTCCATCATTAGGCATTACAGAGCAATTATTTTTACAATCTTAAGACCTTAATTTTAAACCAATATGGTGTCCTGATACCGGTTTCAAAACTATGTCAAATTCACATACTACTTTGTGAATGTCGCCAGAAATATGATATTGTCGAACAATGTGTGCTAGTACTATCTTCATCATCAGCATGCTGTACGATTTTCCTGAAAAAATAAGTTTAATTTATCTATTTTACTTTCTACGACTCTTCCCCGTACTGGAGTCCGTGAGTACGGAAATAAAATATTTGAGGATCCATTCCCAAATTCTTTAATTTTAGGGTTGACAACGCACTTAAAACACATAGAGTGTTTTAAGAAGGGAAAATCACCCAGTGACTTCTCCCGCCTTAGGTGAAGAGAGACAGAGAGTATCAAACTAAAAACTACCCCGTTCCTTCTACTGCTTTAAACCGGAGTCCCATTAACCCATTGTCCTCAGTTCCAGATTGGGTATCAACCCTATTGGGCCCCATTTATTGTGGTCTGATGGCTCTTCGAGGTGCGCGAGGAACAAGACGCGCCGTACGCTCGGGATTTAAAACGCAGCTAGTGTTGCGGGTGGCCTACGGCCAGATTGCTTACCCTCGGCTGGTTATAAATCGCTCACTGTCTACCTTGAAAACGCCCTGCCGCCTATAGTATGATCATTACAATTATAAACTCATATATTTATTACAATTTAATACTATACGAAAATTCTTAGAATAGCTGAACAATTTTAGGGTCATAATCATGTTTCAACACCCATAATAAAGTATTAAGTTAAATAAATTTTAGAAACAAAGAGCAGAATATAAAAGTATATAATAAAACATGATTACCGATGCAGTTTCGTTTGCCAATACCAAAGGCAGCAAAGAGGGCAGGCTTCTCAAGTAATGAAGAAATGCTAGGATCCAACCAGCGCTCTGGTTTGAATTCATTTGCATCGGGACCCCATAGAGGATGACGGTGGAGAGCGTACACACCAATGATAGAAGTGCTGTTGGCACGTATTGTACAGTTTTCTGGAATATAATAGAAAACAACTATATAAAAAAAAGAAATACAATATTGTGAAATAAAATAAACTAAACGTAATATAGTCAATTGAAGGGTCACATATTAATTATTGTAACTTAAAGTCAATCGTAATAATAAGCAAAGAAGTTATAATTTTGTGTGGTATCAATTGTTAGAAGACATTCCAGAGCATCGCCGTTTACATATGATTCATTTCTGGATCTTATTCTCATTTCGTGCTCGAGACTGCCTCGTTGGCCGAGTGGTCGCGAGTGCGACTGCCGGGCAAGGGGCCTCGGGTTCGATTTCCGGGTCGGGCCAAGTATTACTGGGTTTTTAAGTTTTGTAGTAGCACGGAGTCTGGAAATGTGCCCGGTATATGGTAATAGGCTCACCCCCTATTACATGGGACTCATAACATAAATAGTGAAAAGTGGGTGTTACTTCTGTGTGCACCTCTGCCTACCCCTTCGGGGATAAAAGGCGTGATCTTATGTTATGTTATTCTCATTTCGTGCTAATTCTTCGATATTTGTTACACAACTAGTTTCATTATAAATAAAAGTTACTCACTTAATTTAACATCCACATCAATATTTCTCCCTATAAGTGGAGTAGCGCTGTACAATCTCAACGACTCTTTCATTACTGCCTCTAAGTAGACCAGCTTCTGTAGATCATGTTTAGTAAAATCATCATCTTTGTTCTGCAGAACTTCTTGTATTCTGAAAAAGATTCTTTTGTTATTAGTAGGCTACTTACGGAACATGAGTATAGATTATTATTATTATTCGGATCCATATTGCACTTTTTTTTAAAGGGGGGAAAATCATCGAATGTCTGCTCCCGCCTGGGTGAGGCGGGAGGGAGTGTCAGACTCTTACTGACTAAAAACCACCCCGTTCCTTCTCCTGCACGTCGAGCCGGAGCCCCGGTTACCCGTTAGGTTCTCCGCGACTCCGAATCGGCATCGGCCCTATTGGGCCCCATTTGTGGTGGTCTGATGGCTCTTTGAGGCGCGCGCGGAACGCGACGCGCCGTACGTTCGGGTCAGTTTCTGGTCGGACTATATAAAAACTTACTCATTATATAATCTGTTCTGTATTTCTGGGTAAGTTGCAATCGCCAGCAACATGTGGGTCATCGCTGAAGAAGTTGTATCATACGATGCTGCTACGAGAGTATCTAAGTGTTCTCTGATGTCTTCATCTGAGAATACTCCATGATCACTTGCCATTTGAAGCATCTGATCAAGAATTGGTTTAAATTTACCTGAAAAAGATACATTACATAACATACTCACTTACTTGACTGCCTCGGTGGCCGAGTGGTCGCAAGTGCGACTAATGGGCAATGGGTCTCGGGTACGATTCCCACGTCGGACAAAGTATAACTGGGTTTTTTTATAAAAAATCTCAGTAGTAGCACGAAGTTTGGAATTGTGCTCGGTATAAAGCAATAGGCTTATCCAAGGAATTCATAACATAATTAGTGAAAAGTGGGTGTTACACTGTACAATAGAATTAAGTGCCGTAATGTGCACCTTTGGCTACCCCTTCGGAGGTAAAAGGCGTGATGTTATTTAAAAAAATTACTAAAAACTAAGTGGGTCCTACTTGCTGGCAATAATAGGTACCATAATAATAATAATAACGCAGGGCACCTTGAGGCGAGGTGACGGGCATTAGCGATCCCGCGGGCTATCTTCATTCCGATTGCTCTAGGTATAAGTCACCGTTCCTTCTTCTCCGGCTTGCCTTAATTGGCTGGCTGGAGTGAACGATGACAAGGAACA